GTAATACGTGATTCGTCAGATTGGCCAGCTTAGGTAACATGTGATTCAACAGATCGGCCAGATTAAGTAACATGTGGTTCGTCCGATCGGCCAGCAAGGTAACATGTACTTCGTCAGATCGGCCAGCTTAAGTAACATGTGGTTCAACAGATCGGCCAGCTAAGGTAATATGTGATTAGTCAGATCGGCCAGCTTAGGTAATATGTGATTAGTCAGATCGGCCAGCTTAGGTAATATGTGATTCGTCAGATCGCCCAGCTTAGGTAACATGGGATTCCTCAATTTCATAGACAACGTTAAACATGCCAACAGTTTTTAATATTAGAAGACATGTCGTCACATCGATTTTTATGTGCATATCTCACGTACTTATATTTCCTTCATATGTGTATAACATTAATACAGGGTGAATAACAATATAACTTTATAGTACTGTTGCTGGTAAAATAACACCAGTCCTGATGTTAATTTTTCGGTCCATTTTTGCATCTCTATGTTACAAAAGCACTTCAGCTTATTTAACCAAGAAACCTCCTTTTTATTTTACTTTAAAAACAAAGTTTAACGTAGAGCGAAAAAAAAAACAAACAAACTTATCAAAGCCACAGTTTTCACTTATTGTGAAATATTTTCTTCGTGGAACTCTTAAAAAGGAAAAATGTCACAAAATCCATAAATATTGACAGTGTCAATATTCTTTGTCCAAGAATGTGATAAAGGTTATTTTCCTGCTTTAGTTGCTCACCACTCGACGATGAGTAAAAATAAGTTTGATATTTGTTCAATGAAAGAGGGCTGTCACATTCCCTTAGTTTTAATTTTAAAAAAGATGCCACATGAGTGAAAATTAGGTTTAGATATCAGCTAAATAGATATAATGGCAAATCACTTAATTATGTTAGAATTGTGCTCGTGGACATTGAAGAAATCCCTTCAAAACAGCAGTCTCTTTACTTACTTTGCTTGTGCAGTTCTAATATCTGCTCTTAAGCATTTTATTCTACAGCATCTTACCAAAAATATCCGAACAACATACTTCAACGAATAATGCCCCCGTCCCTGAAACAATACGAATATCATAGTGCAGTGCATGTTGGTTAGCTGATGTGAAATATCCGTTGTGAAACTAAAACTTACATCTAGTATCAAATCCATAATCCACGACTTTAGTGACAATTAAGGAGAGAAAACCAACAAATACGTTGGAGCGCAGGACCAAACACTAATGTAGAATTGGAGTAGTTAGAAGAAACGCGTCAACCTGCTATCTAACAAAATTATTGCAAAGAAAGTTGTAGACTAGTCCCTGATGAACTTCAGACACGTTACTGTGTGAAACACTGAATGCAAAAGCAAGTTGCACAGCACCTTGTGTTAGCCCTAGACGGTCTGGAGGATGTAGGTCATGTGAGTGAAAGTAAATTATACAGCACCTTGTGTTAGCATTAGACGGTCTGGAGGATGTAGGTCATGTGAGTGAAAGTAAATTGTACAGCACCTTGTGTTAGTCCTAGACGGTCTGGAGGATGTAGGTCATGTGAGTGAAAGTAAATTGTACACCACATTGTGTTAGCCCTCGACGGTCTGAAGAATGTAGGTCATGTGAGTGAAAGTAAATTGTACAGCACCTTGTGTTAGCCCTAGACGGTCTGGAGGATGTAGGTCATGTGAGTGAAAGTAAATTGTACAGCATCTTGTGTTAGCCTTAGACAACCTATACCAGCTATTCTCTCAATACAAAATCAATAGAAGTATCTATTACAAATATTCTAAGAAATAGATAAATTTCATAGAAACATCTATTAGAATGACTTTCACAAGCAGAAAAATTGCACTGATCAAAGAAGTATGGCAAACATTGAAATCTAACAAGCAAGTGTCATAGAAACAAAGTCTATGGAAACATATAGCACAAGTAATTTACCAGGCAAAAAAGTAGTTAGAAACATCCTCTACAATGAATTTGAAAAACATGCAAAGTCTATGGAGACATCTAGTACATGTATTCTGACAGGCAAAAGTAGTTAGAAACATCCAGTACAATGAACTTGACAAACATACAGAGTCTATGGAGACATCTAGTACATGTATTCTGACAGGCAAAAGTAGTTAGAAACATCCAGTACAATGAACTTGACAAACATACAGAGTCTATGGAGACATCTAGTACATGTATTCTGACAGGC